AGAAGGTTCTGCCCAGGAAGATGTGACAGTTTTAAAAGTTTGTCAGTCCCGCTGATCAGTGGATGAAGAATCCCTTCCAATGTCCATTGACTGACGCCATCAACCTTATACCCTCTAATCGCCCAGATATTTGCTGTCATCGTTTGGATTGGGCAGTTGTCCATATGTTCTATTCTCTATTCTCTGCTGTCTTACCAGATGTCCTCTGCAGATCCCGATGAGCTACCATGTCCTCCGTGTGCATCTTGATCTGCTGTGCAGCACTCCATCCTCCACAATGAGGAGGAACATTTCCTAGGAGGACTCACGGACCTGGGCCAAGCTGGACCCCCTCAACCCGGGGCTCATGGATCTAGCAACCACCTCACAGGCAGGCCCGTGGTCCCAGGCCATGTGATCCAGGACCTGCTGGATCCCTTACCCCTGGGGCTCATGGGCCTGGTAGCCATCACACAGATGGGCTCCGTGACCAGCACCAGGAGCCTCAGGCCTAAGGAGCATTTTTATAGCCATACACGTATTCCCATTTGGAATCGTTTTGGCCTGACAAGCCAGAAGTATGGTTTGAATGGGAGCTTATAATTAAGATATATTTATAACCTTTGCTTCTGTGTAAGGATTATCCTGCCTTTTTTGAGAGTGGTCATTCAAAACCCTGTTCTCAAAGTTTGAAATATAGATATTAACATCCTTTGAAATGAAGTCACCCCAGGCACATTTGTTGCATCATTACTTTCTCAATTTCAAGGTGCATTGAGGAGGCAGAAACATTCCTTAAAGAGATGCCATCCACAATAGCAGGTTAAATGTAGCTAATACAACCTTAAATTACCTTTTCTAAGAATGTATAAGAAAATACTTCGGTACCAATGTGGTTTGTTACAGAGCACAGGTAACGTAAAAACTACTAGTGCAATAATAGGAAGACTTCTCTATTCAGAAATATATTTGTTTCTTGATTGAAAGGGGAATATACATATGTGCCAGAAATGCATCCCTAAATTATCTGTTTAGGTTTGCAGCGCCGTAAACTTCTACACAGCAGAAATCTCCTAGAATGCCTGTCCTTCCATAAGCTGCAGTGCAGAAAACCAAGGGTGAGGGTCTGCAGAGATTCCCACGCAGAAAGATTTGCTGTTTCCTTAAAACAAGATTTGTTGCAACAAGTTCCAATATTGTGAGCTCAGTAGAGGAGGTCTTTAATCTTTATTGATAATAATACATATTGGGGTTATATGTTCTTTAACATTTCGCTAAAACTCAGGATGATTGGAGGAGTATTGAAGTGTTGTATTGATGCCATCTTTTGAACTTAATCACTGGACCTTCTTTTTAGATCCATCTGACATCTTCAAGCTAAACTGGTCTCTGTTATGCTTTGTTCCCCATAGTAAGTTTTGTTGTCCTAACCCTTTACTTAACTTTTTCTACCTTTTTGTCTTTTAAAATGTATTGTTATTTGAGAGAGTTACTTAGAGAGAGAAATCGTCCATTCTTTGCTTCACTCCCCAAGTTGCCACAAGGATCCAGAGCTGGGCCGATCCAAAGCTGGGATCCAGGAACCTCCTCATTGAGTGTGGGCCAGAAAGGCAGAGGTCCTCCTCTGCTGCTTTCCCAGGCCTTTAGAAGGCAGCTGGATCAAAAGTGGAGCCACAAACTTGTATCCATATGAGATAACAGTCCCCAAGTTACTTGCCTTTTTCTTAATAATCCTGGACATGAATATAAAAGACTAATGTACAGAACTATACTTGCACAGCTTTTTATATATATGTAGATTTATTTTTCTTATTGGAAAGACAGATTTACAGAGAGAAGCAAAGACAGATCTTCCATCCACAGACTCATTCCCAAAATGACCACAATAGCCAAAGCTGAGTCCATCCAAAGCCACAAGCCAGGAACTTCTTCCATGTTTCCCATGCAGATGCAGGGTCCCGAGGCTTTGGGCCATCATCCTTTGCTTTCCTAGGCCATAAGCAAGGAACTGGATGAGAAATGGAGCAGCCAGAATACAGCCCAGTACGCATGTGAGATACTGATGCTTGCTAATGGAAGATGAGCCAATTTAGCTATCACACTAGCGCTTACACAGCTCTTAAATTTGTTTTAATTTTTAGCATTGTTTACATAATTGAGTTATGCACACTCATGTGAATTTCTGACTAGGGTGAGGAAAGTCAAGTGTGGACCAAGGTAGGTGGGACAAATTTTTCGATTTTTTTCCTCCTGTATCCACAAGGGAGAAGTGGAAGGGGATTGCTTCCTGCTTGTCAAACTATAGCAGCTCTCTGAGGTGAGGGACAGTGATGACGCACTAAAGACCCCAGTGTGGTCAAGAGTGTTCCAACAGCGTTAACTTGAGTGGTTTTGATAGTTCTGAAAACTTTTTGGTTTCGCTGTACCCAACTTGAGAATATCTTTCCAAGGTTTATTATTTGACAAAGTCCACCTTAGTATATGCACAGACCCATGCTGCCAGGTTGGCCAGGAGAATTATCCAACCTCTGATGAGGCAATTATCCCCTGCTAGCCTAGATGAGCTGGCCATCATGTCCCTTGTGCCTTGCACAGCTCTTTTGATGGTATAACTACTTAACTATATGCAGATAGTTATATGGTAATATTATCCAAACTTTAAAAATAAATAATTTCTGTACTAAATTGGTAGGGAATGACTTGTTGTTAAATCACTTGGGAAAACCTGCCCTTTGCTCTGCCTCTTCTTTTCACTTAAGTCACTGAAACAAATGCCAAAGTTCTGATGAATTTTTGCTTTGAAATATGCCCAGAACAAAGTACTTGAGACAAGAATATTCAGACACTGCTAGTGGCTCTGGTTGAGGTTTGATAGATATGGCGTCTCTTGTGGTTATTATAGTCAATTTAGTTGACTTTCTAAGAGCTTGGATTAAATGCCGTCTTTCCAGGGCGAGTGCACAGGAGAGTCCTCTCACCTAAGGCTTTGAATGCTTCCTCCAGAAGCCTGAGCCATCCATGTTGCATCCTATAATTTTGTGTCTTGAAATAAAGGCAGACAATCTCATGTAGACTTTAAAAAACTTCCTTTCATGCCTTCCGTTTTCTTAGCTTGCCATGACTTCTTACCTGCACCATAGTCAATGGCAGATAGTCATAGTCTCTTCTGAGATAGGATCACTGGGCTGTGAGTTGAGGCTTCGGGATGAGGAGCTTCTGCTGATTTTAGACTGTAGTAAAACCCCTTTGGTTGGCCATAATGCTTCTCTTGCAGTCTCTTTGCATACAGTAGGGAAAGGAAGAACACTTGCCACTTACTTCTTCCTGTGGGTGCCCACAGTGTCATTCCTACAGACATCTTTTTTTTCCCCCAAATAAACACATCCAAACTATAAGGATGAGCAAAAGCTTTGTATCTGCATTTCCTTCTATTCTTGAGGGAAGTGGCCCTGTCTTCAGCCCCATTAGGTTGCCTCATGATTTGTGATAATCAATCTGATAATTGTTGTTGACTTCCTCATGAATAATGTCCCAGATTTGGACCAGTGTGGCAAAAGGATTTTAATCAGGTAGTGCTTTCATTCCCTTGGAGCACTTGTCTTGCCTGACTGTTTTGGGCTTCAGCCAACTACCTGAAAATCTTTCTTCCTCTTGTGTGTGTACAGGAGAAGATGTGTTGCTCCAGTGTTTGGTGGGGGGGTTTTCAACCCCCTGTGTCTCATGGTTGTCGCGTCCTTTGCCATCACACCATTAGCAGCACTGCGAATGGATCACTGCTCCTATGTGAGCGTCTGCTTTAAGGAAAAAGGGAATCTCAATACTGTCTTCGTCCCAGCATACGTTACTGTTCCTGAATGAGAGGGTCCCCATTGGTTGCTGTGACAACTCTCAAATGCTCGATGGGTTGTTAGGTTTTTGTTATCTAATGTGCATTAAACTTCAATACAATAGCTCTGTTGCTAGGAGAAATGTCAGAAAGAAGAGCTTGGCTGGATGGCCACTGCTTGTGTCAGGGAAGGATTCAGGACATGTCATCTTGAACATTAGTTTCCGGTTCTCCTGGTGGGCCTGGACCCTCTGCAGTTTGGACACCCTGGCATGCTGTGCCAAGTGTTCCTTTGATGCTGGCATACTCCATCGTCTGCTGAGTTAGCCAGAGAGAAGGGGAAGGTTCACGATCCTCTGCTCTCATGTGATTAGGGTCAGGACCTTGTGCTTCCAGAGCCCCCGGCACGGTCCTCCTGAGGGGGGAATGCATGCATTTCATGTTGATGCATAGAAAAGGTTTTAAAGAGTGCTGCCTGACTAATGTGTTTGCATTGTTTCTATATTTGATTTTGCTGACATGGTGTGGTGTTTGTTTCCTTGGGACATGTCCTGCTGTTAAAGGTGTCTCCAAGTGGCCAGAGCATGCCCCAGGTACTAGCTCTGCCTGAGAGTGCATGCAGAGCAGGGGTTGCTGCACTGGTGCCCAAGGAAGGCTGTGCTTTTCTCAAGGTTAAGACACCACGAGCCTGGAATCTTACATAACCTATTTAAGATTGGAGATGAACTACATTTGTTTCCTGCGGAAGGGTTTTATGGTTCTGTATGATATAATGCAGTCCAGACATCACTCTTTTTAAATGAAAATTAAAGGCTGAATTCACCTCCCTGGTGGGTAGCTATTTGACTTCTGACCTCAATTTTATCTTAAAGGAAGATGGACTCTTCCTGTCCAAGAGCCGTGAGAGTCTCATTTTCCAAGCACGTTCCTAGCTTATCTAGCTGCCCAACGCTCGGTGTCTGAACAGAAGGAAGCATCGAGTCAATGAGAATGTCCTGCAACCTGCTTAACCTCTCTCCTGTTGCATTTCCAAGGTTATCTTGTGTATGTCTGACTTTCGGAGGTGTCTGATATCATTGGTTTAGTGCTGAACTTCCTGTATGTGCTGGCAAATTTTTTTATACTGGAAAAGATAGAAACTGTTATCTGGGCTCCATTACTTTCCAATAAATTGTTTTTCTCTGTTCTTCTTCAGGACACCCAAAAAGCAAAGCAGTTCCTGCCCTTCCTGCAGCGAGCAGGCCGCTCTGAAGCCGTGGTGGAGTACGTCTTCAGCGGTTCCCGTCTCAAACTCTACTTGCCAAAGGAAACGTGCCTTATCACATTCTTGCTTGCGGGTAAGTCCTTGTGGTGGGCTCGTTTGCCCGTTCTGCCTAGCGTACAGCGGCCAGCCTCCCAAGTCACATTCCCGCCTTCCTCTGTGGTGTGCGTAGGCCTCGTTGGCCAGCAGGTGCTCTTCCTCTGGGACCTGGGATGTTACACTTCTTTACTTCCTCATATCCCTCCACAGACACTACAGTTCTTGGGGGAAAGATGTCATTTTATTGCCTCCAACGGCCACCCTTCCACAGAGAAGCATGCATTGAATCACAAAGGAGAGATGCCAGGGTGCTCCCCAGTGCTTGCTGTCACCTGTGGGGGTCTGTGGCCGGAGAGGCAGGGGTCTCCATGCTCGTTCTGCTCCACCGACTTTCACAGCTGTCTTTCCTTGATGGAGCAGGGATTCCTGTGCGGATGTGCATCCCTGTCTGGCTGGCAGGAGTGAGTTAGGGGAGAAGACTCAGTCCTGAACATGTGATTGCACCCACGCTCCGGGAGACCAGATGATCACCTCTCAGCTTTTGTGGAACTGAGGACAGCAAGCTCAGGGACCTCCGTGGGAAGGCAGGGCCACAGCCAGTCCAGTGACTAGAGGGCTATGTTCTTGTTCAGCAAAGGTGACTTGTCACAATCTGAAGCTTAACAGAGCAGTATTATGTCCTTCATATTCCTGTCCCTCAACAGGTGCTTGGCTCTGCCACTCTTTGCTTTCGTTTGAGGTGTTACCTTCTCATCCTCCACTGTATACTTGAAAAGCGAAAAGCATCCCTTTGGGCAGCATAGAGCTTTAACCACAAAGAGAGAAACTGCTTTATTCCTTCTGGGATATTTGGCCACAGGGACGTAAAAACAATGACGTTCTGGCTTCCAAGCACAAAATACTCTGAATGGATCAAGCTCAAATCACAAACCTGTGTGGCTGTTGTCATCCTGTGGAGACCTGGTTTTACCTAGCCTAGACAGTAGGAATCTGATCACTCAGCTATTGCCTCAGCCAGCTCCTTTGTGTACTTGACATCATTCTGATGTTAGCAATTCAAAAGGCACTGCCTGGGCTAACTTACATTCCATAAGATAAATTACACAGAAGCAAATACATGATAAAATTATAAGCTTTCCCATTTTTCTGCTGTCATGGTATATTCTACTATATTATGCATCTTTCGATTTCTTCTGAAACCTGGCAAGGAAACAGAGCACTGTGTGAAGAGAAAGCAGATAGCAGTTTGAATTCTGGCTCCATAGTGCAGAAACAGGTGTCTCTGAAGAGCTGTTTTTCCTCTTCACGCCCCTGTTTGAATGTTCGTTATAGCTAAAGGTGCTTCTTGCTCCTCAGGGTTGCTGGGAAAGGCTTAACAAAGTGAGTCTAGAACAAGCTCATCATAAACCAGGTCATAGGGGGATGGATTTCTGTCCTCTTGCAGAGAACTGTGGTTGTAACTAGATCCTACCTTGACTCTTGGGGAATAGGTACCCTGACTGTTCGGTGTGTGTGCCCACAGCTGTGACTGTTCTGGGCTGACTCTCATCTAGTGCTTAAGAGAAATAAACCAAGAAAAAGGAGCTATACTGGCCTTCTCCTGACAAACTCAATGAAAGGAATGTCCCTAGCTTTTCCCTCTGAGGCTTTAGGACAAAGAACTGTGAAATCCTAAAACCTTGTCACAAAGAATAAACTGGCAGGACAGTCAGTCTCTGGAAGCCCAACGTGAATGCTGGATGAGAAAATAGAGGCAAGTGGTAGAAAACTGGCTCTGAAGAGGGGATGATTCATTCTTGAGGTGAAAATCAGGAAATGCCTCTGAGGAACTGCTGTCTAAGCTGTGTTTTGATGGACAAGTAAGAGTTTGCTATTGTTCAGGAAAGAAATAGGTTGAGAGTTACAGTCTAAGGTTGGATTGTGGAGGGATGACGTGTCTGCTTTAGCAGGGGTGGGAGGGACCAACCCACACACCTGCTTGATATTGGTGGGGATCAGAGGGGAGGATGAGGCGAAGCAACTGCCTCTCTGTCCCTTGGGCTATACTCCGGACACTCGAGTCATCGAGAGGTCTGGAGGCAAGTGGTTCCTTTTGGTGACAGCATTGGAGTGGAGGAGCAAGCGTCAGGGAGCACAGTTCAGAGCCAGCAAGGCAGAGGATTCAGGTCTGTCCCTGCAGGATTGCGGGGCTGACAGGTGTGCCCTGGATGGGATCTGGAAATGATGCTGCACAGTGAGGCCACAAGGACACTACCTGGGCTTCATACCTGGGCACGTGGGCAAGGGAGTCACCAGGAGGTAGTGTGTAGTTGAAGGACGTCAGGATGTGAGGTATAGGGTTAGGAAGAGTGAGCACCGTGCAAATGCCCCTGTGAGGATGATGCTAAGGGTTGACATGGGCCGGGAAGGCAGTGGTTAGAGGAAGAGAAGGAGCAACCAAGCACGCAAAGACTGTGCGTCAGCCGCCTCTGCTTGTGTATTAAAGAGCAAATTCGTCAAACCTGCATTGTGACATTACTATCAATTAGCAAACCACGAGTGACCTTTTTCAGTCCAGTTTCATTTAGAGTTGAGTGAAATAAAGACAGATTAAGGAGATTTGGGTGTCCTTGTGGGAGGAAAGGAACAGGCTTATGAAATATACATTATTTGTCACAAAAATGTAGCAGAGAGCCGGGAGAGCGATGGACAGTGAAGGCTGAAGGGTCAGGTTAACACTCCGAATGTCAGTGTCTTGTCTCCATGTAGAGCTGTGAAACTCACGCAAGATTCGAGAAGAGGGCGTGGATGCTTGAGCGAGCTCTTCGGTGTACCTGCTGTTGTCATATCAGCGGCAGAATGCAAAACTCAACAAAATCTCCTTGGCGAGTGAGGAGATGAAAAAGGAGAAGCAAGAGAGTATTATAAGGAACATGCGTTTTAAAATGCTACAGTGCGTGTGTGTCAATTCTGAGGGGAAAAATACAGAGTGGCTGTCGGAGAGTTCCCAGAGCAGTGGCCTGGGCAGATGAGGAGTGAGAGCCTGGGAGTGGAGCAGTGAGAGCGGCAGACCCAGTGTTCCTGCTGGAGAGTGCTTCGCCCTGCCCGCCGTGGAGCCGGCACTCCGCTGGGAATGTCTGTGTGGCGGAGTGCGAGTTTGGGTTGCGATTCTCAAGGGGAAAATCAAAATTGTGAGAGCAGTTCCTGTGTGCTACTCTCATTAATCCTTGCCTTTTGGAGCCGTGCATGTTCAAGGTAGGGTGGACACTTTCCATTTTCGTGTGGCCTGTTTCTGGGCAGACGGCCCCACAGCTTGACAGGGAGTGGCATTTGGCCTGAGCCAGCTGGCCTCTCTGTCACGGTTCCTGCACCCCTGTATGTGGAGTGACGGCTTGATCAGATGGGCTAGCAGGTGGGGCTGGGCAGAGTCAGCTGCAGCCAACAGGTCAGCGCCTCCTGAAAGCTCTTGCGCTGCAGTCTTGGAGCACCCTGTTTGGGTTTGGTCACCAGGTGACCTTCCCCCAGCACACAGAGACTGTTCAAGGTCCCCGCTGCTGCGGCCTCCTCCCAGCACACTGACTGTAGTCTTGGAGGCGGTCACGGTCACTTCTTGTCCTGAGGTAGCGAGGAAGCCAAGATCCCCAGGCAGCCTACGTTTGTTTGAAAGCATCCTTTCTTCCCCCGCTGCGTTTACTGAGCCCTATACGTTGCCTCCTGTTAGCACAAAAGCAATTTAGCTCAGTGTTTGTTTTTAATTTATTTCTGCTTGGTCACGTGTGTCACAGCTTCTTGGGGGGCCTTATCTAAAGGGAGACTGAGGCACTGCCCTACAGATCCCTTGGCCTTCGTTTGTATTTGTGTGTACCAGCGGGAGTGGGTTAGTGTTCCTGTAGAGTGACCTTGCTGTTGTGTGTGGTGTTTCACGTTTGCCTGCTCTGGAGTGTTGGAGTCGAGCTGAGGGCTCGGCTGTGCACGTGTCCCTTGTCCAAGCAGTGCAGCTGTCGGGGTGGCACCTGTAAGGCAGAGGCTTTCTTCCAAACAGGAGAGGAAGACTGAGGCTTCATTGAGAGTCTTAGTCAGGGACTTAGAGTCTTCTGGCAGCTCCCTGAGCAAGCTCACTCTGCTTTACTTGTCTGTTCTTACAGGTCAGGTGCTGCACAGGCGTGTCAGACAACTGGTGTGGAGCTTAAGGTTCACACTGCCTGAGTGTGGCAGCCACTTAGCAGGGGCTTCCCACGTGGGTCCCAGCAAGTCACTTGGAGTTAACCAGTTACCTAGTCACATGACGTGCGACTCGAAAAATCGACTTCCCTATGTCTGTCCGAATTTGTCTCCTTCCTTTCTTCCTTCCTTCCCCTTCCTTCCTTCCTCCCTCCTTCCTTCCTTCCTTCCTTTCTTCCTTCCTTCCTTCCTTCCTTTTCTTGCTCTCTCTTCCCCTCCCTCCCTTTCTTCCTTTCTTCTTTTCTTTCTTTCCTTTCTCTGTGTTGACTGGGAGCAATATTCCCTGAGGTCAGGTGTCACACTCCAGGGGCCTCAAGGTCTGAGTGCATTCATTACATTCCAAAGAATTCGCAGAATCTGATCCAGGACTGACTGAGGGTATCCAGTCCGTCAGCCGTCCACACTCCCAGGACAGAGTGTGCAGTATTCAACAGCACACGAGCAGTAGAAGCACGATCGGTTCACGGTCAAGAGAGCCACGCACATTCACCAGTGTTGTGCAAGCTGTGGCAGGCTGACATTGGTCCTCCCTGCTAGAGTTGTCTTCTTTGTTTTGTTTTGTTTTTAAGATTTATTTTTTTTTTATGAAAAGGCAGATATGCAGAGAGGAGGAGAGAAAGGAAGATCTTACGTCAGATAATTCACTCCCCAAGTGACCGCAGTGACTAGAGCTGTGCCGATCTGAAGCTGGGAGACCAGGGGCTTCCTCCCTGTCTTCCACATGGGTCCCAAGGCTTTAGGCCATCCTCCACTGCTTTTCCAGGCCATAAGCAGGGAGATGGATAGGAAGCAGAGCTGCCAGGGCATGAACTGACACCCCTGTGTGCAAGGTGAGGA